GGGGCGAGGGCGAGGGATGGGAGGGGTGCAGCAGGGGTGCCACAGCAAGCGAGGGTCTTCTCTCTGCCTCCCCCTGTCTCAGGCTCTCAGCACGGGGTTGCAGCTCCAGAGACACATCCTCAGGAGGTCTCACGTACAAAAGAAATATCAGGAACCCAGCCTCAGGGCATCCTAGAGAGGATGGAAAGCTAACCCTGTAAAAGAACATTTTCCCCCCTCCAACATATTTTACAATAAAAGCAACTTTTAATCATATAGATATGTATTTCCCCCTATGGGGCCTGACTGCACTGATTTTTTTTTTTAAGAGCAACTGCCACCCGTGGGATTTCGTTTCTGCTTTGCTAGTGCCGTGCCGTCTTGGGGTGTCTGGTGGGCAGGGCCGCCCTGGCTGCGGGGCAGCGGGGTGGAGCGCGAACGCCCACTCTGGTTCTGTGCAGTGTTAGGAAAACCGATCAGGTGGTCGCATTGACTTCCTCCCAAGAGGCAGGTGGAGCTTCCCCTTCAGAGAGCTGCGGCAGCTCTTCACCTTAGGTTTGCAAATCTTTTGTCTTTTAACTCTAGTACTGTTTATAGTTCATGACTATGGACGACTCGGGTGCCACTTTTTTCAGATTCCAGTGTGACGTGAGGAATTGGATTTTGAAGATGAGCATATATATTGCTATCTCTAAGCACTTACAATGCTGTTCACACTTTATTACCAAGCATCTTGGTCTAGCATTCAACAAGTACTGTATCTCACTTTAAAGTCTTTGGGAAGAAAAAATAACAACAACAAAAAACTAAGTTGCTATCTTTTTTCGACACTGTAACTGCATTTCAGCTCTGCTGAGTTTCTCACGGCAAGATATTGACAGTTTCAATGTGGTTTAAAAGGATGAATGTGAATCATGAACCAGTATGTGACAATGAATGACCACCCAGTGCAGCCTGGCGCGAAGGCACTTTCACTTTGATGTTTGAGAAAGGATTAAAGGCATATGCAGAGCTGGCAGAGAAACCGAGAGAAAAGGGATGGAAAAAAGAATACTCATTTTTGTCCAGTGTTTTTCTTTTTACGACGAACTTTTAAAGAACCTTGCGATTTGCACATCTTGAGTTCATAATTTGTGTGATATTCCTGCAGTTTTTATCCAATAACATTGTGGGAAAGGTTTGGGGGACTGAACGAGCATAAATAAATGTAGCAGAATTTCTTTCTAACCTGCCTAAACTCTAGGCCATTTTATAATGTTCCTTTCAAAATTTATTTTGGTCTTTCTACCACATCTGTCACAAAAACCAGGTCTTTGGCAGGACAACTCTGAGAATTTTCTTCAGATTCATTGAGAGAGTTTTCCATAGAGACATTTATATATGTGAGCAAGTTTTTTTTTTTTATTCATTATTGTTGTTGTTAATGTTTTTTCAGAATGAGTTTTTTTTTTCATCTGAAATCAAATCAAGATTTGGTGTTTGGTACAAACCCAGAAAGGTATTTCAGAATTTAAACCTTTCATTCCCAGAGAGGTGAAATATTGTTTGTGGGTTTTGAGTTTGCATCTCAAAGTGCTTTAAAAAAAAAGTTTTATAAGTAGGAAGAAATTTTTAATATTCGTACTTGGAATGGCTGTAGCTAATCTGAATAAAAAACTTCTGATTTTCCTTTCCTCATTGAGAAATAATACTTTTTTTTTCCATTTCACAAATTTAAGAAGTCCTAATGTCAACCCACATTTTGGCTATCTAGTGTTCCTTCACATTTTGTTCTCACCAGGACTAATGAGTTTATAAACCATTTTCTGGAATGTACCAAAAACATTTGAATAGATAGAAAATAGCTAGAGCCGGTCCTTGACTCTATTTGAATTTCATCACCCTCCCTGCATGCTCACAGAGAGTTGGGTGGGTCTCTTCTCACAGTCATAATACTCCTTTAGTGCTGTATTTTTTAAAGCGTTTCTGTTCAGAGAACTTGCTTAATCTTCCATATATTCTGCTCAGGGCACTTGCAATTATTAGGTTTTCTTTTTCTTTTTCTTTTATAACCTTTGGTGGCAAGAGGAATACGAGGCTGCCACATCGACTTTGTCCTCATTGGCACCACTATTTACAGTAGCCACTCCCGTGGACTCAGAAAGACACACACCACCTGTTGGCTTCCTTCGAGTATTGAACTATCTGGATCCACAACACCAACACTAAAATGGGAAAATATACATGATTGGAGCAATAGGAACATCATCATTTTTGTGCTTCTATTTCAGGTATAGGAATTATAAGAGGATCGGTTCTTTCTCAGCATTGTCCCATTTCACTCCCCTGCTTTTCCAGCATGTGCAATACTTTCCATGCCAATAGAGTCTGATCAGTGTGGTCCAGTTAAAGCTCACCCCCTTTTGGCTTTTTCCTTGTTTGGAGGGGAGGAGCTAGAGGGGGGAGCCTCCCGCTGCAAGCTCCCCCTGCTGCTGTGGATGCTGAGTGCTGGGCGGGAGCCTTCAGGAGCCCAAGTGTCTATCGCCACGTTGCAGAAAGAGCAAGCAAAGGAGATCTAGGGGACCAGCTGCAGTTCCGCTGTCACCACGATGAATAGTGAATGTGGAGTGTGTAGAGGAAGGAGGCAGAGTCATTTCTAAGGCGCACTCTGGAGCAATAGAGCCAGCATCAACCCATTTTCCACGCCCTTTTCCGCAAGTGGGCAGGCCCCTCCTCAGGTCTGTGTCCTTGAGACTTTGAGCTGTGCCTCTGAGCGCGCAGGAAGTGATGTGTGTGTGAACCGTGAGCGTGCAGGCCAGTGGCTGTGGAGGGGCCACCTGCCAGCACTGCTCACTCTCCTCTGTGGCAGCTTTCTCTTCAAATAGGAGGAACATCCAGGGGACAGGGAACCTCCTCCTGTTGGCAGACCTTGCTGAACTGAGGCTCCCAGAGCAGCCTTTGTCACCACTTCTGTGTAGCAGACCTGGCAGTGACAGGCGTAGAAGCTCTCCGGTGCCCTGCAGCTTACGAGAATCAGCCTTGTGCCTCTGTACCGTGTCCACTTTGCAATATTCGCCTACACTGTCTTTAGCTCTTTCTTTCCTGTTTTCCACTTTTAAACTAATAACAGCAGGCCTTTTGCATTTACAATGGAACACAATCACCAAGAAATTAGCCAGGGTGAAAAGAAAAAAAATATAATAAGAAACCAACAAACAAGAACCTCTCTTTATAGGGATTTCTACTAGTAAATATAGAAAATGACTGTTCCTTCGAATGTTTAACTTAAGAATTATTTCGGTTTGTCTGGGCCACACTGGGGTGCAGATAAAGAGATGGGTGCCACTTACCTCAAACCTTTTGAAGTGGAAATCCAAATTGCATTTTCATTGGGACTTTCAGGATAATTTTCTATGTCAGTCAATTTTGTTTTCCCCAACTCGCCCCGTTTGGTTTGGGAGGATTTGGTTTTCGTCACTGCTGTTGTCGATCCCCTTTCTGACTCTGCATTGTGACCCTCTGTGTTTTTTGTTGTGTGAGTGTGTAGGGATTCCCCCGCAGGAAGTGGCAGCAGCTTCCCCCTCCCCCCACCTCTCCCCCCTCCCCACAGGAACTCTGCGGAACCTTTCACACCTCTTACTCAGGGACGGGCTGGCGTGTGTGTGGTACACTGATGTGCCCGGAGCAGCACTTTGACTGCTCTGGAGTAGGGCTGTACAACTTCGAGGAATGTTTGGATTTCCTGCACCTTGTGGATTACTCCTTAGATCCTGCATAGATCGCAATATAATGCTGCGTGTTCACGAGGAACAGCAGCTCCTAGTAATCATAAATCCACTCTTTGCACATAGTTCGATCTTTACTGAAATATGTTGCCAAAATTTCTTTTTGTTGTAGCTTTGAAATTTTTTTGTTTGTTTGTTTTTTAAGGAAATTGACAATACCCTTTAACATCTGTGACTACTAAGGAAACCTATTTCTTTCATAGAAAAATCTCAGTGCTCTTGAAGACACTAATGCCACGCTATTTCAGATTTGGGTGAAGAAGCAGAGCTCTTGGGACAGAAGGCCAGGCTTTTTGAGCTGTGTTGGTTGTCATGGCGACTTTTCATGTACCATAAGCAGCTCAACAAACTGTGGCCTGTTCTCTCCTAACCCTTTGCACTTCCTGTTTTCTGGTCACCGTGACGATTCCAGGTGACAACAGGGCCGCCCGGCTCCCTGGCCCAACCCAGCTTCTTTGGCAGATATGAAAGAAAAGGGAATTTGCTTTTTTTTATCCTTTAGAGTGGAGTGGAGGCCTTTGCTTCCACTTTTGTGTTTTCAACCCAGAATTTCTGAAATGGAGAATTTAAGACATCAAGTAATAAATATACAGAGAATATACTTTTTATAAAGCACATGCATATGCTGTTGTGTTGGGTTGGTTTCCTCTTTTCCACGGACAGTGTTGTGTTTCTGTTGATAGGGAAACTCCAAACGATTTGCACACCTCTACTCTGGAGCCGAGACTTCTACAGAGATGACCTCGCTTCAAATGTTACTTACTGATGGGATCTTTTCCTGTAGCACTAGACCTTGTGGGAATTTCCTTTTTTTTTTTTCCTTCTTTTTAATGTACACCTAATCTGAGAAGCTGAAGAAAAGAAATTTTTGAGGCACTCACTTTGAGGAGTACAGGTAATGTTTTAAAAAATTGCACAAAAGAAAAATGAATGTCGAAATGATTCATTCAGTGTTTGAAAGATATGGATCTGTTGAAACAATGAGTTTCATACCTTGTTTGTAAAAAAAAAAAAAAAGAAGCATAAAGGTTGAAAGTTACATGTTTTTCTTTGTATATAGAAATTCGTTGCGTCTAAATGATCAGATTTGTATGGTTACGGCCTGGAAGAATTACTGCGTCAA